ATAATTTCTTAACTGTTTGGGGAGCAGCGACAGTCTAGAGGTACAAGGGAAATACAATGTGACTGGGAGAACGGGTCCAGGGAGAGGGTATTTTTACCACCAAGCTCCTAGGAATGTGGCTGCAGGGAACCTGCCCAGGAAAAAAAATTCCTTGCTGAGAAGAGTCCGGGAGTGGGGCAGGGCGGAGAAGATGGAGCCACAGCTGCTGAGCCCTGGAGCCCCTTCTGCCACCTCTCACCCAGAGGTACCTGCAGTGGGAGCACTGGCTCTCCAGCCGCTTTCCACTTGGGGTGCACCTCGGGCTACCTGCCAGCATAGTCCGAGAAGAGCTTCGCTGCTGTTGATGTCAGGCTGCACTGAGCATTCTGGAGCGGCAGGAAGGAAGATGGTCTGGTCTGGCCACTAGCACTTAGAATTGAAGTGATAACAGTAATCAGAAATTGGGGTAATCAGAAGAGGGCTGAAGCTCATCAGAGGATTGGGCAGAAGCTTTTGTCAAGTAGCACTGAAACTAAGGGAGGAAATACCACCATCACCCCTGTGGTGAGCCAAGTGTGGCCCCAACAAGGTATTGCTAGTCCCACAGTGCTCCTGTGTGCTTGCACCATTAACAGATGCTGCACTGACTGACCCAAACAACTTCATGTTTTTCCTTGGGATTAAAAAAACTAAAACAACATGACCCTCATTTTGGAGGCAAGGGATATAAATAAACACATAAGGTCAGGGGCTACCTAAGGATTCTTCAAGGAAAGAGACACCTTTAACATGATGATAACTTTACCTGCTTCACAGCAGATGCTTTAGTGCCATGAATCCTGCTGTGACAGCTTGAGGGAAGCAGAGAATAGCAGTCCTTGAACGTTATGCTGCCAAGCATCATTAGCAAGAAAAGCTGTATCTAAGACAGCTACCCAGGTGCCTGCATCTCAGGCACCAATGGGGAGAAAATTTTTGAGAAAACTATTAAATTCTTTTTAAACACCTCTTCCAGTAGCCTCACAGATCCCATGCTCGTCTGCTTAACAAGGGCCAAGACAGTTAACTAGCCAGAGCTGCACACAGAAGCATAGACATGTTTCTCTATAGCACAAGCAGCTTATGGTCTAATTTTCTAGAAGTGTCTTAGGGCAGATTAGTTTCATGCCTGTTGTAGGCATCTGTAGCAGGACATCTTGGGAGAGAAAAGAACCACCCCACCCCCATTTCACAGTGAGACAGGACCATTACCAGGACAATGCTCTGCTATTGTATGGTCCAGGACATTAGCAAAGTCCTGGTAGAGTAGAGCAATTCGCACTTAGCCAGAAAAACAGCTCGTTAAAAAGCTTCAAAAGAGAAAGTTTTTCTTTCCCTTCATGCCACCCTCATTCTCTTAGCATGTGGGTTACTCTTCCAGTGGTTGTCTCCACCTTACAGGAGTGGCATGATCTATTTGAGAACATAACCCCACATTCCTCTCCCCACTGGAACCTTAACATTTCACTGTCAGAGCAGATCAAGATGACACATCAGCTCAGGACACATCATGGATTGTCTAGGGAGGAATGTCTGCAGATCCACATACTGCAACTTGGAGTTACTGGAACTAACTCTGCAGACTGGAGAAGCCTGGCAGCGACTGTGGCAGCCATTAATGGACGTTCCTGTGATGCTTTAGATCAACTCCATCATTCCAAATCCATCACTATGTAAGGAAACAGTTTGGTTTTTGGGAGTGGTAATGCTAGCATAAGATCTGCTTAGCAACTGTTTAATCTTCCAGTGTTTTACGGACAACCACCACTACAAGACTGTTGATCTGATCAGTTAAAGGAGTTTTTAAACTGTGTTTTATTTGTCCAATGAGCTTTATAAACTGTGAACTGATTGCAAAATGTATGTCCATGCTCAGTACAACACCCCTGTTCCCCTGAAATCTCACTTCTCGTGTGCAGTTTGAAAGGAAAAAAAAATATTCAAGATTTAAAAAACAAAACCCTCTCACCTTTCAATTAGCTCAGCTAAATGACAAAGCAGATTCAGGCAGGAATGTATAATGATACCCCATGAACCACATTTTGTCTTCCAGTGAACACTCCTGGTCTCTGCGCTTAAAGGTACTAGACGAAGATACTAGTCTTTACAACTTTCTTCTCTCTGATGTCAAAACAGCATGTTAAACTGTAAAAAGATATTCTATATTAGCCGGACTAGGTATTTACTTTGCTGTCTTTATATCCAATACAGGAATAATTATGCAGCGGCATGTAAACCCTACTATTTGATCAGCATTTGTAAAGCAAACTCCCCAAAACTCAAAGTGTGACCCAAAATACATTTATGGTGTCAATTCATCAGAGCAGAGTCAACCTGTGTTACAACAATCCAACCAAAAGAGCTTTTCAGTGGCCTGGTTTCAGCTGTAAATAAGCCCACTTCCTTTCTTTTTTTAAATTTTTTTTTTTTGGGGGGGGAGGGCAAGTTCTCAGTGACCACCTTATACTAAAAAAAGCAATTTTTTCCTGTTTTTTAAAACCACCGTCAACACTTAAGTTTGCTTTGGAGAGACCATATCAATAGTTGCTAAGATCAGTGCCAAAAATACCAGATCTAGCACACAATGAAGGACTCTACAAGAAGGTCTCAAAGCCAGGGCTCTTTGCAACTCTCTGTTTATTAAAAATATATGTCTCCTTGGAAGAAACACTGGTAACCAACTAGTGTTGTCATGATTGATTCGATACTGTCAGCTATGCCACGGAGTACATCATCTTTTTCTCCATGTGACTTGATGAGAGGGAGACAGGCTATCAGGGGAAAAAAAAAAAAAAAAGACAAAAAAAAAAAAAAAAGGAACAGTGTGACTAGCATCTTAAGGACTTTTGTTTCACTTACTCCACTTCTCCAGGGACCGCCGTTTACAGCAGCCAGAGCAGGACCAGCGGGGCAGGGGGCTAGATGCCGAACAGGAATCTGAGTGCCAAAGTTCACTCCTTTAGGGTCAGTCCCACTGACAGCAGAATCCTTCCTGCCCTCCACTGCACTAGCAGCTGCATCTCTTCTGCAGCACTTTCTGTCCCAGGAAGCTGCTCAGTCCCCGCAGGGCTCCTTGTGATGCAGGATGAGTAAAGACAGCTTCTCACCAGACAGTACATGTACAGTCTTACAGCAGTTCTCATTCATGCTGAAAACCGGGGCCTGTGCGCACCATGTACTGACTGACACACTAATAACTGTTACCTTCAGGAAAGGGGACCAGCACCCCGCACGTTCACTTACCCCTATAAAATAGGGGAGAGAGAATGGGCCAAGACTTACCTGCTCGTGCTCGTATGGTGACCTCCTTTCTTCTGGTGCTTGGCACTGTGTCCGAGAAACAGCATTCACCAATTCTTTGTAAGGTGGGAGCGCTCTGCTACCTGTATTATGAGTACCCAGCAACATAGCTCCTTCTCAAAGGCTGTGCAAGTTTTCCCCCAGCTTCACACACGGCTCTGTTCCCATGATGGAGCCCCATTCACGTGTGGAAGCCAAAGTGTCCTCAAAGACATTTCTCGGCTTAGGGCCAACTGTCTCAGCACCAACGGTTGCCTCACTTGAAAAGTCCCAGTGCACAGCAGATGGGTGCAACTCTGCATCCCCCCACCCCACAGACCTGCAAGCACAGGGCACCCAATTTGCTTTTCTAAGGTGACCTTGAGAGAGGGAGCAGAGCCCGATTTCAGAAAGAGGATTTATGCAGAGATGTCAGAGACAGAACCAGGCGAGGCGACTGCCCATTAACCTGCCAAGCCCCAGCTCCCAGAGCAGCAAGCGATGTCCCTGCTGTGCTGGAAGGATGGCCCTTCCACTGGGAAGGCTACCACCACCACCTGCATGCAGCAGAGCCAGGAATTTGGCATGGAGCAGGGAAGAGGGAGGAAGTTCTTCAATTCTGTTACTGATTTGGAAAAGTGTGAGTGTCCATCCAAGGCACAGCGTGGGGCTTTTTCTGCCAGTGGCTAACGCAGAAAGGAACGCGAGCGTGCTGCCACAAGCTAAAATGGGTCGTTTCACCTGCACCCACAGGTACCGGGCCAGCCCAATGTCCCAAGTTTTCCACAGCAACACAGGTCAGCAAATACATTTGTTCCATGTGACCAGTGGAGTATTTCCTAACTAAACACTGCAGATCTAGATTCTAGATTCTATTTACAATAGAGCCAGCTTAAAAAATAAGTTAAAAAACTGGATTTTATACCCATTCAGTTCATTATTAACAAGAGAAAAATGGAATAATGAAAAAAAAAAAAGCCAACACACCAACACAATATGGTTTTGGTTTAAAATCAGCTTAAAAAAATAGAACCAAAAGGAAACCTCTCATGCAAACACATAAGGTGGTGTGTAAAACAATGTGCAATTTAATATGTAGTATCATCCATTCTCTTGTTCTGCAGCCTCCTGCTCAGTCTGTCTCCCAGCCTCACTCAGATCAGCTGCTGCTCCTTGCTGTGTTAACTCTGGACCTCTGGTCCCTTCTGCACAGGCAGTGTACCAGTCTCTGCTCTGCCTCATAAGCCTGGGGCAGCTGGCAGGAGGCTGGCCCCAACAGGAGACGCTTCCGAAGCACCTGGTACCGTTTTGAGCTCTTCTTGCCCAAGTGGACTCCCTACGCCCAGCGGTTGGGACAGAGAAACTGAAAGATCCTTGCAATAATACAATACCTTTTGAGAGAGGTCCCTCAGGTTTCCTAGTCCACATGCACATATATATATATAATATATATATAATATCTCTCTCTATATTATATATAAATTACATATACAGATAAATAAAATGCTTTCTACTGCCTTTCTGTCATACAGTTCAGAGCTGCTAGACAGTCACACTTGGAAAAATGCCCCTGGAGCTCTGATACTAGCTCACGTGCTCAGAGTCCATTGTTTCACTTGTTTCTTATGTTAGTCCTTAGCCACCTCCTCCCATCTTGATTCTCAGTTTAGTTAATAATAATAATAATAATAATATAATAATAATAATAATAATAATAATAAAAAACGACCTTGAATGGGTTCTCATCTGTCTCTAATGGAGCAGTGGGAAGGTCCATGCAGGAATGGTGGGAACAGTCACGTGATGAATGAGATGAGTTCATCCCAACAAAAGAAACAGGACTAGAAAACTCAATTTTGCGACGATCTAAAAAAGGGGGCAGGAATAGTTTTCATATCCCTCCCCCTTGGGGCAGAGGGCTTGGGTGGGGTGGGACTTCGGAGATCTTCTGCTCACAGGGAAGCAGGTGGGGGACATCTTCAGAGTTTCTCTGGGGACGGGACCCAGATGTAGTGCCCGGACTGGTCCTCAATGATCTGTTTGATTTTGCTGTAAATCTCTTCAAGAGAGTCTCCTTGTACGATGGCTGGAAGAGGAGAGAACAAGCAAGACCCTGAGCATCAGGCAATGCTGTGCCTTCGTCACCACAAGCTATGGGAAAGGCCTTCACTCTGCACCAAAGGGTCCAGTGTGGCATGGCCAACAATTAACGAACGAGACAACCTGTGTCAAAGGAGCTGTTACAGGCACATGATGACACAGAGGGTTAACCCAGTGTGTCCAAGGAGATTAGCAAGAGCTGATCCCGAGCTGGCAGAGCTCCTCAGGCGTGTGAAGTGCCGGCCAGGTTCTCCACAATGGGCTGCTAATCAGCTTTGCAAACTGTGTCACGCCACCACGCTGAGGCTGTGGGCAGCTGGCCCTGGCACCGCAGCTACTCCGCCGCGGTGAATGGGAGGGCCTCAGAGATTAGCCAGTGTGCACTGAGCACACACCCCAAGGTGCCGGATTTGTCCATCCCCTCTGGTTGGCTGCTGAGGGCTCCTTGTGTTTATTGCTTCCTCTGCTGCGGAGTGGGAATCGCAGCACTGTCAGGCTGGAGAAGGCCAGCTTATGGCTGTCACTCCCAGCAGTAACTCTTGCCCGAAGACAAGTGACAGTCTCGCTGCTTAGTACGGACACAACACGAAGCACTTCACTGTGCTTCCTACATTGCCGGGGGAAGATGCACATGGAGGGCCAAAGCTTTCTGGAAATTCAGCCTGCCTCTGTAGCCCAGCCAGTACCATCCTCCAGCATCTCTGTTCCCTCATTGTAAGCTCCTGGCACAGAACGTGCTACAGTGACCATCCCTCTGCCCATTGCCCACTTCTTTCGACAATGGGTTTTAGCCAAGAGCATTCCTTCCCCAGGTCAACTTCAAATTCACCGTCCAAGTACACAATGGCATGCCGAGGGTCTGGCAAAACCGTGGCATGCACTTCCTTTGCGCTCTTCCTGGAAGAGCAACTGGCAGCTCTGGAACTGCTGCCTGGGACAGGAGGACTGGGGAAAGCTTCTACCCTGTTTGTACCCGTACATTTGCTCAGCTGAGGTCCATTTTTGGAAAATGTTCTGCTTGGGATTTTTCCCAATAGCTGTTAGGTGGGTAATATGGGGTTTGGCAGGATTGTCAATCCTCAACTTTCTTCTAAAGTTAGAGGAAAGTTAGAGACAGCTTCTCTGCCTCTTCACGTGCCCATGATTTTCCAGACTTAATCATGTTACAAACATTAGTTCCTTAATGCACAAGGATGCCTGTGTCATGAGCAGTTCATCTCTGCAGGCACAAAGTGCCAGGCAGCCCCTGACTGGCTCTTCAGCAAAGACTACTTAGGAAGCCAGCCAAACTTCCAGTCTTTTTTTGGGAGATGTTTTGTAATAACTCAGGACAGTCTCCACCATTTAGGTCACTAATTTTTTATCATTCCTCTTTAAAATTACTCTTTTCTCTTTTTGAAAATGCTCCCCTTTCCCCCATGCAGGGAGTTTTATTTCCTGTAGCCTTGTAGCACCCTGAATCTATGCTGTGCTTCCCCTGCCTGGGGATTTTTTCTTTTTTTTATTATTATTAAAGTTGGCAATAACCTTTCACAAACTCTGAAAATCCTGCCTGACAGCTTGTCTCCTTCTCTAGAGCTGGTTTACTCTTATCTACTGATCTTGAAGCAGTCCCTTTGCAGAGCCCTGCTGGCAAAGTGCCATTTCTTCTTTGCTTTGATGAAGCTGGACATTTTCCCATGACCCTGCAGTAAGACAGTGCTGGCAGAGAGGTTATAGCTGCCAGTGAGAAAAATAAAATAAATCAGATACAAGCCTGCTCAGGACACTCACCTGTAAAATACTCTCCAAACTCTTGCTCGAGTTTCATGGCTTTGTCAAAGACCTTGTTGGCCTGTTCGTATGTCTGTCTCCGGTTCATCTCCCTGCCATGTACAAAAAATAGAAACTTAACTCTTTTTCTTAGCAATGAGCAGAAGCAAAAATAGCCCATGGAGCCAGGGTGCCTGGGAAGCCTCTACATACCAGGAATGGAAGCTGTGCAGGACCAGGCTCTCAAAGGCAGGACCCTTCCCCACATGCTCTTTGCTGCCTTGGTACTTCATCTCAACTCCCAACAGTTCTTCCCATCACCATCCCCACCTTCTTCACCATAGCACAGAAGTGGACTCAAATCCAGACAATCCTCTGAATTTGCAAGACCACTGCAGAATCCTCCCTGCTTTTCCAGAGTCTTTCACCACCCTCCTTACCTAGGTTCCCTCATCTTTATACAACACTCAAATTAAGCAATTCGACCCCTTCTGGCTTGAGAAGGGGTTTTCCCAGTCCCCTCAGTGCCAGCAGAGTCTCTTCTGATCTCAGAGTCCATCTGAGCTACAAGCAGAAGGTCCGCCTTAGGCACACAGGAGACATCTCCTCCCTGCTCCCCAGGCTCAGCCACCATACAGCTGTGATCCACTGCTACAGGCTGTCAGCAGCTCTTCTGGCTGGACTCAGGGCCCAGGTGAGCAGGTTACATCAGGCACATTTGGGAGCATTTTTAGATTTCCCATGGATAATCCTCTTTGGGGTGAATGAAGGGCTGTAAGCCAGAGCAATCCATGGAACCTGGATGCACCATGGCATTAGACATGGAAGGACACTACTGAGACAGCAATGGGCCCACCTTCTCTTAACAAGGGACTTCAGCACCTGCAGCAACCTCTGCTGCTTTCTAAAAAGCAGAGGCAGCACACATAAAAACCCCAAACATGCCAGAGCTGCTCACCCTGGAGAGGCACAGAACATGGCATTGCACTTACATGAGAGCTTCAATGGATTTTGGTTTGATGAAAATGGCAATGGGATAAAGTTGTGCTTGTTGCAACCTCTTGATAGCATTGCCAGACACATCCAGTATGCAGTGTTTCCCCTGGAAAGGAGATGATCGGGATCAGACCTACCCACACAGTCTACTCTGTGAAGAAAACAGCTTGCTCATACAGATGCGCTTACAAAAGAGAGGAGCCACAGAGCTGAAACAGCAGTCCTGAGACACAAGCCAACTCCCAGAGGCCTTATGTTCCTGCCTGCTTAGGGGAGGACAGCAGCAATGTAAAGGGACTGAATCTTTCTCTGAACATGTGAAACAATTTACAAGCCATCGGTACACTCCAGTACTCCTGCGGAGGAAACGCCACTGCTTTGCAGAGGGCAGCTGGGCACCTTTGCCCTGAGAGCTCCTGAGCACGAGGCTGCTGCCACCAGTGCCAGGCTTCTGGGTGGAGTTTGGATGACAGGTACGACACTGAGGTGGAGTAACATGGCTGAGAAAAGCAGCCACATGGCTTGGCAGGACTTTGGAGGGAGGAGAGGCTTGTGCCACACTTGCTTAGCGTGGTTACAGCCCTTCGTTAACAACACAGGGAGAGGAGGGGAACTGCTGAATGCGTCCAGGTTTGGGCTGGATGTGTCCCAGTCCGAGGAATGCCACCTGACACTCACCCTCTCTGCCACTGCCCGCACTGACTGAATGCTGGTCCCATAGAGATTGTCATTGAACTGCCCAGCTTCTATGAACTTGTTGTCCTGGATGTCTTTCTCCATCTGTTCACGGGATACGACGAAGTGGTAGTCTTGTCCGTCCACCTCGTTCTCACGCCGAGGCCTGGTAGTGTCTGGAGGAGAGCGGGCATCATGAGCCAACCCAGAGCGCTGTATGCCAAACCTCCTGGGAGGGAGAAAACCCACCCGTGCTCCCAGCCGTGTCCCCACGCCATGGGCTAGACCCTGCAAGTAGCAGAGCCGCCACTTTCCCCTTCCTCCAGCAAAGGCATCGAGTGCCAGCTGGGACTTACGGGGCACGCAGGAACCAAACTTGTGTGGGAATTCGGAGATGAGGTCGTCATTAATTCGGTCCTTCGTTGGCCCCAGGATGATCACTGGCCTCGCATAGTGAACTGCGAACAAGAGGCACAACCTGAGGCCCCGTCTGTGTTGTGGGCAGCTGACCCTACTGCCACTTTTGGCATCAGACTGCCCTTGTCCTGCTGGCAGTGGGTGCTCCTGCTCACATGGGCACCCAAAGGTGCCTCCTCCACATGACTTTCTCTCTTCCTGGTAACAGTTGACATCTCCTTCCCATCTGACCCAAACCATCTGCACAGACCCGGGGAAGGTGCTGCAGGTCTCCGGAGTCACGGATCAGCAAAGATGCTCCCTTGCTCAGGTCAGGAGCCAGACAACCAGGACAGCTTGGCAAGGATGCCACAAAGCTGGGGGAGTGACAGAAGCCTAAGAGTCTGATCCAGCTTCTGGCAAGGGGACACCACCAAGGCTGGGACTATTCAGCCTGTGAAAGGGTCTGCAAGGATTGAGCATCAAGCAGGGTTAAATGCTGAGGGCTGGGGCAGGGGTTGCTCTGCATCAGGGACCTGGCCAGAGGCAGGGAGGAATAATGCTGTCCTCAGCTAGGAACTAAAGCCTAGCTTGGTTTTAGCTCTGGCTCTCTCCCTTGGTCTTGCACACCAGGTCACAAGTCTTTTCTGTTGATTAAAAAGGGGTGACCAAGGCCAGGGAAAGCCCCACAAGGCGGCATGCACACCTAGCTCCCCTGCTGCACGCAACAGACAAGAAACTCCACTTGTGTTCACCCAGCGTCATGCTGGTACGGCAGAGAAGGGGAGGAGGTCGCACCGGTCACCTTGGCTGTGCCAAGGACACAGGTGCCCACACTGGAGTGGGCACAGACCAGCTCAGTGCCAGGACTTACTTTCTTGCCGCGTCACCGGCTCATACGACAGGATGGTGTCCTCTTGTCCTTCTGCAACAGAGCCAGGGAGAGGCAGGTGAGCGCTCGCAGCAGCTTCCCAGCCCCTCTGCACTCGCGAGGAGCTAGCTCCTGCCCCTGCCAGCCTCCTGCAGCCCTGGAGACACCTCCAGGCTGCCCCCGTCACTCTGCCAGCTGACACAGAGCATGACAGGCATACAGTTACCAGCCCTTGATCCACATCATTAATTATTCATGTCCCAGCTCTGGGTCAAGCCTCCTCTTTCCCTCCCTGCTGCTGCAGGCTCAGGGCCCACTGGGACGCACTGTCCTCCCTGCAGGGTGGACAGCGGATGTGCTGCAGATATTTAGAGGCCCCGCTGGGGATAAAGGGAGCATTTGCTGCAGCTGGACCCACATGTTCTTGTACAGGCTTGGGCTTCAAGAGCCACCTATGCTACAGACCGGGCCTTGGCCCACTGCTTCCTGCAGCAGGTACTCAGGATGGGGGACCACCATGGACTGGGAACCCACAACCTAGCCTTGGAGCAGAGCCCTGCAGCTAGGACAGAGCAGGGAAGCAGGCAGGCTTGCTCCTGCCCCCCAGGCCCTGCTCCCCCAGGCCCCGAGGGGGGAGCAGCAGCATCTTGGTGTCACCAGCAGAAAGGACCAACCTCTGAACAGAACCACCACCAGGACAAGACAAGATGGAAGTGCCAAAACATGCACACACATGCACATATGCACAGGGGCGGGAGAGCAGGCGAGACGCACACTTACTGGAACTGCTCTCGCTGTCACTGGTGTTTGATGTCACGCCCTCTGCAAAGCAACCAGAGAGACCCCCTTCAGAAGGGGCACGGGTGGAAGGCACAGGGGCAGCCCAGCTGTCACCCAGCGCTACTGACCCAGGGCAGGGTAGCACCAGCCTCCCAAAAAACCCACGGCCCAGCACCTGCTGGGACGAGCCTGTGTTGCATGGGCAGGGCAGCATCTCTCGCCCTTTGCTGGGAAACCAAGGACGTGCAGGGGGATGCTTGGCTACTCTGGGGAAGGCAGGGGTGCCAGGAGGGGGCTGCCTGGCAAGCATGGGCAGACGTGCAGGTGCTGGGCTTCCCAGGCCGAGGGTGTGAAGATGGAGTGCATGGGGAGGAGGGTGCTGGTGGGAGGGACGGGTGCAGCATGCACATGGGGGACAGGGGAGGGCACGGCTCAATGCCGGCACTGGGATGGGGGACCCTGCCTCTAGGGATAGGGGTCAGACTCACAGAGACAAGACAGTGACAGGATGGGACAGAGTTTGGGGCTTTGTTTGCTCAGGCTGATCCCAGTGCTGCAACCGCCCCACAGAGGCTTGCTGGCAGCTGCTGCCTGCACCCAGTCGGGCTCTGCACCGGTCAGGGGGCTGCGGAGCTTGGCAGAGGTCTCACACCCAGCTGGGAGGGCTGAGGGGCTCCTGTGATCATTGTTTTGCAGCTCTGGGTACATGGTGCCCCAGAAGAAGGTGGCAACACTTCAAAACACTGCCACCCACCCCACTCAGAGCAGACCCATCATGGTCATGGCCACCTCCCACCCACACTGGCAGTGGCTCCAAGTCTCTGAGCACTAAACCAGCAGCCAGCTCAGCTAGGAGCAGGAGGGAGAGGAGGATGAGGAGGTACAGCTCACCCCAGGTGCGGTGGGCAGCCCTCAGCTAGGTGCACTTAGGGCATGACCAACATCCCCAAGCAAACTCCGCCATTCCCTCCCACGTGCAGCAGCAGCACCTCCTCAAGCCCAGCAGCCTCCGCCGGCAGACATGACATTCCCCGGCAGAGGAGCAGCACCCGTGGGGCTCCTCCTTCCCCGCACCCAGAGAAGCGCAGCTGCCCCGGCCGGAGCCCGGCTGTTCCCCCGGCACCACCAGGCATGCCAGCGACGGAAAGTGAACAATGTGCATTGAAATTTGACTTACTCAGGTTCTTTGCTCCATAATAATCGTCACTTAACCCAGGGAAGTCCTGATTTCACAGACAGCGAGAAGAGGGAGAGGGGGAGAGAAGAGAGCGCGGGAGAGGGCAGTCAGAGGGATGGGGGAGACAGAGCCAGACCAGCATTAGTGATAGGAGTGCAGAACGGCCCAGAGCTGCAACTGCAAGTGAGGTTAAATGTTTTCAGAGCTGATGCCATCAGCCCACTGCCAACATCTCACCTTGTGTGACTGGACCCCCCCACCAAGCTCATCCTCTCTGTCAAAGAGCCCCCAAAGGCCACCCTGGGTCTGGGGACAGCAGGGCGACCACAGCAGTGTCTGCTGGCACTGAGTGGTTGAAGCCCCAAGCTGCTGGCAAGCGGGGCTGAGGTGTTTCTCCGTGATGCCTCATGGGCTGTACTGGCAGGGCACAGTGGCTCTGCGCTCCCCTGGAACAGCCCGGTCGCTCTGGGGGCAAACGCAGCACAGCCAGTCCTCTTAACACGCAGCAGGGGGGCACATTTTTCCCCACCTGCATGTGTTAGCTGCCCATGCCCCAGTGCTTGCATGGGCTGTGGAAACATGGGGGAAGGACCCGCCACTGCAAGCTGGGATGGACAGTGGCAGAGCACAGGGAGGGAGCTGGGTGCAGGTCTGCGACACGGGCTGGCAAAGAGCGTTGCCTGCCCCATCCCCATGCCATACGTCACTCCGCTGCAGGACTGGCCGAGAGCAGCGTCGCAGTGAGCCCCCAGCTCCAGCATGGAGCTGATTGGAGCCCAGCCACATCCAGGCACAAGAGATACCCAGACACACAGATTTAACCTTCACTGCAGGCCAGAGGCTTGTGCTGGCTGCTAAGCTCACTGGAAGCCAGCGCCAGCCTGGCATGGGCAGCAGAGGGATGTGGGCAACCCCTGGAGCAGCCCAGCATCAACCTCCTGCCTCTGCATCATGCCCAGGACAGCGACCGGAGGGGAGGGGATGCGCTTGCTGTGCTGGCACTGGGGCAGAGACACTGCTCTGCCTTCCCACCTCCTCCTCCCCAAGGTGCGAGGACTGCGGCTATCTGTCTGGACGCTTGCTGAAGGAGTGGATACAATTTAGCACCTGGAAGGAGAAGGGGCTGGGTTTGGCGAGCAGCTCCAGTGCTGCCCACATCAGGATTTGGGGCAACAAGCTGAATGCCCTGCCTTTACTGGGAGCCCCAGGGCGCGGCCAGGTGAGAGCTGGGGACCTCCCAGTCTGCAGCCAGCTACCAAAGATGTGCCTCAGTCGTGGGTGGGCAGCTCTTCCACCAGTGAGGGCATGGCTCCCCCATGCCCACAGGGTTTAACCCACAGGAAGGGCTCTCCGCCGGGAATACATAGCTGCGAGTCACTTCTGGGGCAGATGGGGAGGACAGCTGGGACCTCCCCAGCCTGTCAGCCCTCATGGGGACAGGAGAAGCTCTGCAGGAGGTGGCCAGCCCCTCGCTTGGAGGGGAGCAGCCCTTGGCAGGCAGAGGGAGGGAGCAAAGCCCGCAGCAGAGGGTAGAGAGCAGGGGGAGACAGAACAGGAGGTCAGGCAGGTGTAAAGTTGGATGAAAGGATGAAGACATTGAACATGAGAGAGAAAGAGAGCGCCAGCCCGCAGCCGTTGCTTTCGTTTCAAGCTCTGGTTTCTCCCTAGCTGCTGGCACGACTGTGGAGCACAGACCCAAACACAGGCAGATGCCAGGACCCCTGTCTACGGAAACGTGCCAAATCTCTCCCCCCAAGGCAGGGGACCTGAGGGTCGCACGCTTGCCCCCTCTGGCCAGCTGCTACTTACGTTCCTGTCCGCTGCTCTCCTGGGCCAGGTTCTCTTTGCTCTTGTAAAATGGAAACTTTCGAGAGAGGCGGAAACTCTTTTTACGTTTCGTTTTGATCGACTGAAGAACATGGAGATGGAAGGGAGGACAGAAAAAACATGTGGGAAAAATTAAAATGAAGAGGCAATGAGGAGCTGTGTCAGGGCAGTTACCCTCAAATGAAATCATGGAGATTACATGAAAACTGTAATGCAGGAAAAAAATTAAGCATGGAGAAAAATGTGGTAGGGATGTTGGGAAGCTGACAGGGCAATGAGCAGCTCTGCAGGGGTAGAGGTCCTTTCCTTGTCCGCTTGCTAAGTGCTCCGCACAAGGGGTGAGGGCAGCTGCCTTCACCTGCAGAAGCTGCCTGCAGTCCACTCCCAGCCACTCTGCTTCCCCACCACTCCAACCAGGGGTTCTTCCCCAGCACTTTCGCACCATCCCAGGCACCTCTGCTCTCCCCTTGCACAGTCACAGAGGATACATGCTGAGCAGATCCAGGCCTGGGGCAGGTCCAGTCACACTGTTCTTTGCTTTGGCATTGCTCCAGCTGCCCCACTGGCAGCTCTGGCTGCTGGGATTCATCCTGCCCCCGCTAGCTACTGGCTCCGGGCACCCCGCTGAGCCCCAGCTCAGCACTTACCCTGTTGGACTCAATCATGCCAGTCCTGGCGTGGAACTTCACTGTTTTCAACCGCGCTCTCTCCTTCTTTTCCACCCTGATCAGAAGTTAAAGGGGAGAAAGAGCAGCTAGTCCCATGCGTGCACCCTCCATGCTACCCATGTGGCTCCGTGCACCCTTGGGTGGTGGCCCCATTGGCAGAGGGCAGCTCTTTCCCAGAGAGGGATGGAGGTGGAGCCACCTGCCCAGGGTCTGGCCAAAGCCAGTGTCTGCAGGAACAGGAGGGGGGACAAGCCAGCCTTCCTGGGAGGGGTGGGATGGAGGACAGAGATTGCCTTCAGGTCTGCAGAGCCAGCCCAGTGGCAGCCAGCTCCTCTGCTCCCTGTGACTTCCCATCTCATGGGACCTGGCTCACAGAGCTGGGCAGGCTGTCAGAGGACACAGGGAGCAGCCTGCAGTCACTGCTATGACTCTGCTCTCACTTGGAGCCCCAGGCTGGCTAACACTAGCTTTCCATCCCCACAGGAACCACAGAGGGGCCAAGTGCTCCTCTCCTCACCTGGAGTCTCACCCAGCTTTGAAGAACATCTCCCCAAGGAGACCCACACACAGCCCCAGCTTGCAACCAGGTTGCCCTTCATGCTGCAGAGCCACAGAGGAGCTGGTGGGCTGGGACCACAGGGAGATCCCACTCTGAGCTGCAGGGCTTGCGGAGGCTGGGGAGCTCCAGGAGGCACCACGTGTGACAGCTCCTGCTGATGGACACTCACCTTTTCTTGCTGGGTATGACCCCGATCTGCTCACTCTCGCCGTGGGGTGTGACAAGCCTGGCTTGCCACCACTCATCGTCGGAGGCGTTGATAACATGTAGGATGTCCCCATAGGAGAAGCTGAGCCCCTGGCTGGGCAAGCAACTGTCCCGGGTCCGGTCATAGTCAAACAGGGCTCTGCAGAGGAGCAGAGAGAGGAGTGATGCCTTCCCTGAGCACGGCCAGGCAGCAAGAACAGCAGCACTGCCAACCTCCTGCAGCACTGCCACCTTCATACCTTAAAGGATTTAAGCCCAAGCTTTGGGGAAGCCTCCTGATGAGGTGAGTGGCACCGTGCAGCCACCAGCACACCTGTCCCACTGGCAAGCTCAGCACAAGCCCTGAAGCATACAACGCAGGAATAACAGTGCTGGACCAAAACAACTCGCTCTTGACCTTAGCTGCGAGAGACACGTGAACCACAGACACATTGAAGGCGGCTGTGGTTAGCGAACAGGTGGAGCTCATGCAGCCTCAAGAAAGCAGCAGTGTACAGGAGGGCAGTGGGGAGCTGGGGTGCAGGGCTACTCCCCACCATCCCTCCCCAGTGGCTGTGAGGCCAAGGAGCGGGACAGGTTCCATCAGACTCCACTACTGGTGATTGGTTGCACAGGCAGAGACCATGGGACACTGAGCACGCACTTTATTTATGTACAGGGGTATGTTAGTCCAGAGCCTGTGAATTAGGAATGCATCTGAGGGTATTGCATCTGCAATACCCATGAGAATGCATCTGCTTCTACAACTGATCCTTTTCAGACTCCTAAATACTTCCCAAGAACAGTTTATTTAGTTTAAAATTATCTTCAATATTAAACTAACCAGCTACAGAAAAGATTTTTTTTTTTTAAACTAGGAGTGCTAATATCCTTCCTGCGCACACTTTATCACACACAGCATTGCAGCCTGTACCCACAAGCTGCTTTCAGTGGCTTCATGTGCAACTCCTTCTACTAATGTCAGATCTCAAACCATGTCTGCTTTGGTATATCCACTTTGCAACAAACCAAACCAAGGGAACAGTCACTAAAAGCACCACTGCCAGCGGCACAACCCCTGTGTTTGCTCCTGGGACATCGGCCCCGCTCACACCCCAGCCTGACATGAGCCCAGGCACCACAAACACTCGCTGGCTGCTGGTTTAATCCTGGCACTAATGAGTCTTCCTCAACCAGGAGAGACACCCTCTGCCCCATCATTACCCCCTTCCACTGCGGGAACTCCTAAGGGGGTCTGAAAGCACACGGTGCAAATGGCAGGGCCAAGGGACCACACAGCAGGTCCCTGTGAAGTAGCAGGGGTGGGAAGGCACTTCTTCAGCCAAGTCCCTGCTCCAGCTCTTCCAGGGGAGCACCGGGCGATGAAACCTTTCAGGTCACTTGGAACTGGGTCAAGGCAGCTGGTCTCAAATGGGGAGGAGGAGAAGAGGGGCTGCCCCGTGGCTCAGGGAGGGCTCTTTGGGATGAGACCTGATGCAGCCCTATGCATCCAGGTACTTCCAGCTACCAGGTTGCTCCCCCTTTCCCAGCTTGCTCGGGGATGGGGCAGCGCTCGTGCTCAGTCCCTCTGCACCCAAGCGTGGCCCCCGGCACGCTGGAGCTGGCAGCAGAGCACCACAGGGTGTTTTGGCTAGAGGAAAGCAACCCTCACAGGCAGCTCCTGGCCAAAAGATAAGGCTGCGTGTGGCCAGCAGGCCCCTGCGAGGCCAGCGCCGTCGGGAGCAATGCACAAGCCAAGGCCCCAGGGAACTGGTCAGGCCGGTTCCCTAACTGAGGCAGGCTGCAGGGCGCCCTGCCCACACCCTGCACCCTGCCCTGCAGAGCAGCCCTGGCCCCACAGCTCCCTGCCTCCTCCCGCAGCAGCCACTGGCATCCCAGGTTAGGCACAGCAAGATTTGTGCAAGGGCCGGACACCTGCAAAGCAGAGGCGGGAGGCATTTGCTTCCCCAAGACGCGATGCTCCTGGAGACCAGACCCTGGCTGTGTCGGCACCCAGGGCCCACCGTGGCTGGGTGCTCTCCGGGGTGCACAGCGTGCAGGGGCCACACGGCAACACAGTCACTCTGCTCTGCCCCTGGGCCAGCTTGCAGCACACGGGCACGGGCAGCCAGGAGAGCAGATGGTTTGGCTGGAGGGCAGGGGAGCAGTGCCAGGGACTCGGCACGGCCTCCTCCCAGCACCCAGGCACAACGCCTGCCTGACCCCCATCCCCACCCGTCACAGCCCCAGTGCCGGCGGACTTTGCCCTGCGGCAGCGGAGGCAGGCAGAAAGCAGCGCGCAAACCTGCCTCGCTCCTGCCCATGCTGCGCAGCCGCAGCTCCAAAACACCCCCAGATTGGCTCCGGCAGGCACTCGGGTGCCCGGTTCTGGCCCTATAGACTGCATGCAGGGTGCAACACAGCCTCACAGGGCTGACTCAAGCAGTTGGGTAGCAAGTCCTGTAATTGATGTCCTGTCCACAGTGCAGCAGTTGAGCTGGTTTCGGGTAAACTGTGCTCGAAACTACCCCGCCCAGAAGGGCTGGGGCAGCCCAGATGCCCGGCAGCTCTCACAAGCACGTTTGCAGGTGTGCGGCCACCAGAGCCACAGAGGGTCGGGAAGGGCCATGCTGGGGAAAAGCTCTGCCCTGGGATCACCCTCTCAGCAAGGCACTGCCCAGCTCCCATCTGAAGCCACCTGGTTGCATGTGAGGGGACACAGCGCCGCAGAGGCCACCAAAGCCACGTGGAGGGATGCAGCAAGAGATGAGAGATGCTACAAGCAGCCTGGGGGCAGCGGGGAGCTCTCTGGCTCGCAGGCATGCCCCGATAGGTGCAGCACCTATTCAGGCAGAGAACAGGAGACTCACAGGCTCAACTCAAGCTGGACTCAGCCTAAACCCTGCTCTACCCATGAGGGTGTCCATGGGACAGCAGAGGAGTGAGGGCAGGACTAGCAAGTAGATGTTTAATCAACACAGTGCCCAGCTTGTTGCACACCCCCAGCACACAGCCCCGAGGTGCTACATCAAGCAAGATGCCTGCAGAGCCTCACAGTAAGGCGTGAATTGCAGGAACCCAGAGCTGCAGCTCTCCCTTCCTGCAAGGTCGGGCTTGCACCAGGTCCAGCAACAGCCTGAAGCCTCTCCGCATGGAGCAGACATGCAGTAGGAGATGCAGGCTGAGGCTGATGCAGCCTTGGTCCTTGTCATCCTTCCCACAGGGAAGGAGAAGCATCCCCTGCTCCTGCCAGGCCCCACCTGCAACAGGCTGTGCAGGGCGAGGACTTACAGGATTATTTTAATTACCAAGTTAAAATTACTCATTAGCTGTCACCCCACTCACACTGTGGCAGGCAGTAAGCAGGGGCTGCCCTGGTGGCACAGGACTCGAAGCAGTTAGAGCTGCATGGCTGCTTAACCCCTGCCTGCCCCGTGCCTGGCTCTGAACCAAAAGTGCATCGAGGGCTCAGAGTCATAATCCTCCTAAGAGCTCATCTCCCCTCCAGCCAGATCCTGCCAGAGCAATGGCGGGAGGAGACAGGGAGAAGCCTGTTACAGGGAGTGGTTCGAGGAGAGCATCCTGAATGCTGCCTTGAGCTGTCTGGGGCAGAAGCAGCACTGGGTGCCCGCATTTCCCTGTTTCCCAGTGGTCCCCAGTGGGTCGGTCTGGCCAGCAGTCAACCAGGGCTCTGCAGAGACACCAATACTTTCTCAAGCGGAACAGCCCTTGAAAGACACACTCAAGTGCAGAGCACCCAGCCCCGGCGAACCAGTGCAAAAGCACCACTCTCCCTGCTGTGCCCTCTGGGCTTCATGATGCATCTAGCACACTCGCTTCCCTGGCCTCCAAAACACCCATCCACAGAGGTGCTACACGGCCCAGGCTGAACCGTCCCACGCTGCATCCCGCCCTGTGGGGATATACCCATCCCACTCACCTCCAGCTGCCTGGAGCAAGGGGGCAGCAGGGGAGGCTGAGCCTTACCGGACATAGAGAGATCTCTTCTCGCTTGTCCGGAGGGAGCCGGAGCCGGAGCTCATGCTGCTGTTCATCATCTGCTCTCTCAGGTCGTGGATCTTTGACTCGAAGCGGCTGTACTCTGCAGGGAGAGAGGTGGTCAGTGCAGGCAGGAGCTGCTGCCAAGCCACCCCCGCCCCCGCCCCGCACCAAGCCGGGCCCAACTGTTAAGTACTGAGAGAGGCAATGACAGCCCGTCTGTGGGGCATCTTGCCCATGAGGCTGTCCATCCCTACACATGAGGGAGGATGAAACCAAAGAGGCTGCAGCACCCTGCAGGAGTCCAGCAGGCATCTGGAGCAGGCAGGGCACTTAGCTGCTCCCAAACCCCTGCACAGGCAGCTTGGGCAAGGGCTGTTGAGACCTCCACTGCTACTAAGCTGCAGCTCAGCAAGGGAACAGCTGGGCAGGGCAACAAGCCGCGGACCTACAGAGCAGTTCAAAATGTGCAGAGAGTGAGCCCCTCCAGGAGACCGTCAGCCACCGGCTGGAGCAGCAAGGCACCCCTGCAGCCATGGGGGGGGGTCCCCACCCACCGCTCTGCAGGCAGCGGAGCCCCTCTCCCCAGCAGGCGTGGAGAAGGGGGAGGAAAAAGCACGGCTCCTGCCCACAGAAGGGGAGTGGGGAGGAGGAATTCGCCTTTTACTCCTACCTCCAGTGGCAGACACCCGCAGGAGCAGCTGGGGGACCCTCCAAAAGCCGCCGCCACTGCCACCTCCCTGCCAGGCAGCTGGACGGGAGCAGCCGCCACCCCGGCGCCTGCTGCCGCGCCAGCCCGACCTTCAGCTGGGTGTAAAGGTCGGGCCGGCAAGCAGAGGGTGGAGGCACCGGCCCTGCTTACCCAGGGCCAACCGGGGAAGGTTTGAGGGGTGGTGAGCAACTGTGGCACCGTGGCACCAGGGAAGCTGCCGGCACGGCCACAGCCCACCCCGGCAGTTCTCACCAGGTACCCTTGATTTTGTCCCCTGGGCACACCCTGCAGTTATATCCCTGCTTCCCGGCGAGAGGAGACCAGTCTCACCTCTACTGCAAGACTTGCCTAGAAAGCCTCATCCACAACCCAGCAGTTCAGATATGGTTTGGGTTTTTTGTGTGTGAACTGGAGCTCAGCAGTGGAGGCAAGTGCTCACTGCAGAGTGGAGCCCCAGCAGTGTGGGGGATCATGCAGGCTGCTGCCTAGCCCGCAGAGCAGTATCGCACAGGGGTAGTGGGAATAACACACTGCTAAGAAACGCACTGCACGCTGCGTTTGAGAGCCAGCCCCTCACTGTGCAAAGGGAGAGGCGACTCTCGGTGCAGACGCACAGGGGGCTGGGGTTATGCAGCTGCAGCTCAGCATTTCCTGACCCTACATCTCTTCACTCTGCAGCCAGACCCTCCTGGGCATCCCCCTCCTGCACCCAGCTGCCAAAGACGCATTTTTACTTAAAGACTGAAAATAAAGGTAATACACACTAAAACCGCCAAATGGCACACAGAAACTCCACACAAGGCCCCTTCCCCTGCCATGGGACATCAAGAGGTGCCACATGCCAGGCAGGTTCAGTCACTTAATGTGGAGGTCACCAGACCCCCGCTGACCCTGCCTGCCCCATGCCAAGGGGCACCCACAGCCCCTGCCTGCCTTCATGCTAGCAGAGGGAAACAGAGAAGCAGCCAGGCGTGGGCAAGGCTTATTTTATAAGAAAACTGAATTCTGACACCAAAGCAGCACTTTTGCACTCGCCAACCTGCATCGAGGTTTTACAGAGCTCCTGGCAGAGGGAGGTGAGCTTCATACTGCTCCACACCTCTTACCCCACACTGGGGTGGACCACAGCATCTGTGGCGCTACTCATCTGCCCCAGGATGCCCATGAGCTCTTATATCGCAGAGGAGCATCTGTCAGAAGCAGGTACAGCTGCTCTGTAAACCCTTTGGTATAGAAGGACTCTTTCCCCCAGAAAGCTGCTGAGCTGGGTGCTGTAACCTCTGTCCCCAGTCGAATTGTCCCAAACCCCACTGGGGGCACAGACTCTCCGCACACCCTGCACCAAAAGAACCGCTGCTCCCCATCACGCGGGCTCGCATCCCTCCCATGACACCCTTCTCCACAAGAAGCCCAGTGTGGAGAATGCACTGCCTGGGACTGGGCAGGCAGAGAAGGGCAAAAGCAGGTTTAGCCGCCACTGGCATCAAGGCGAGGATGTCGGGAGGGCAACCTTTGGGTGCCACCGTGATGCCAGCGACTGTGTCCCCTGCATGCAACCCAAGGGCAGGGCTCTCAAATACCCCTGCCTCAGCTGGGACGCTCCATGGAAAGGGACTTTCCAAATTTTGCTGGAGTGGCCACACTGCTTGGAGGGGCTGGGAAAAGCCCACTGGCACAACAAGAAGCACAAGCCAGGCTGGATGCAGCAAACTGAAGGACACAGGGGCTGCTCTGGCTTTATCCCCCGGAGAGCAAACACAGTCACGTCCTAGGATGGGTCTCCCAAGAAGCCACCAACCTGTGCTCGATATGACTGGGGGAGGGCACAGGCCAGAGGAGCAGCCAGCCCCAAAAGGAAACCCGCCACCTCCCTCCCAGCACAGGGGAGGCAAGGTTACTCCGGGAGCAAGCATGGGATGCTCCCAGCTGCCACCGGCCCCCCCTTATCTCCATGCTGGAGCAGCCTCTGAGACAATTACCAGTGGATAACCCCCAGCAAGCAGTGCTCCCGCCTTTGCTCCCTGGCTCATAGCCATCTTGCCTCTGCATCCTGGAAGGAGATCTCCCACATAGTCAAAACTCATCGGGAAGCTTGTCCACAGCACAGTGGGGAGGTGAGCCATGGCTGATGCCCACCTCCCTGGCATTCCCACGGGACACGGGTGCCAGACATGTTCAGGACACACTTACCAAGACTGAAAAATATGCAACAGGTGACCTGGCACCTCTTACCGCAAGTGCCACCGCAGTGCTGCGCCATGCACCAGGAGGGGTAGGACTTTTGCTATTCCCACTCAGCAATTCGATAAAAACACCACTCCACCCTCCTGCCACTCTTCCCTTCCCAGGGTGCAGGTGCCCCTGGAGCTGCGCCTGATCCTGCACCACAGGGTGAGCTCAGTGCTGGGAGCAAGATACAGCCCTGCACGCCTGAGCGCACACAGGTCACACACCATTAAAATCAGGCAGGGATTGCCTGCCTGCACCCAGGATCCCCAGCACCAGCACATGCTCATGTGGTGCGCCTGCAAATATAACCAGCGGAACCAACAAGACCGTGGGTCTGCAGCTGATTTCTGGGCACCAGGGGACAGTGCAAGGGGAAAAGGTGCTGGCAGAGAGGGGAGCTGCATTGGAAAGCAACCCCGGAGCACGCATAAAGCCTTGTGCCCATGTCCTGCTCTCTCTGGCATGCAAACCTGCCTGCTCAGGGCCAGGCCAGCTCTGCCAGGCCATTAGCAGAGCCCAGGGATGCTCAGCCACAGGCTCCAGCCCAGCCACCTGCAAAAACTACACCCAGCTCCATCCTTCCCCTCCAGCCTGGCATCTTATCGCCCTGGCCCCACACACCTGCCAGCTGTGGGGTTAAAGTACAGACACCTCCTTGCACAGGGCGCAAGTGCCGCAGGCCCAGGGGAGCGGAGGGGAGCATGGCCATAGGGAAAGCTTGGAGGCTTTTAAAAGCGATCGCGCAGCCCGGTCACTTCCCTTTGAGCGGCCAGCTTGGAAAAATGCAATCACGTGAGTTTTTGTATTTTCAGGGGAGGAATATCAAGGCTTTGTTGTGTGGGGCAGGAGGAGGGGGAATTGCCAAATGCAAGTGCTGGTGATAGCGGCAGGCAAAGGTCAGGGGGAGAAGTGCTCAAAGGGAAGGGACCTCACAAACAGCTCAGAGGTACCATCACAGGGAGCAGCCTCCTCCTCATTGACAGCATGCAGCAGTGGTCAGAGGCGCTGCACCAGGTGCAGGTGCTCAGAAGAAAGGCAGGATGGCAGCTCTTCTTTCTATCCTTCCCTGGTTTTGTCTTTGATTCTTTCCACTCCTGGTGGCTTGCAGGACCCCACAGAGAGGGCACATCATCCCCCAAGACCTGCGCAAGCAACCTCTCTGCTCCCTCGGAGCCCCAGCGAGGTCAGACGCAGAGCACACATGCACTCATACAGCAACCCCTGGGCAAGCCCTCCTGTGCTCACGTACAAGAGACATGTGCCATCCTCCGCCTCTATGAGCAGAAAGGAACTTCTCAAAGCCCCCTTCCATCAGCATCTCCTCCTTTGGACATCCTACAATCCAGCTTTCTTGCTCTTTCCAGAGCCATGACACACATAGAAAAGCCAAACATTTCGAAGCACACATCCCCTGGAGGGGACCCAGCCTCACCTGCACCTGGGGCTCATGCCAAGGAGAGCTTTCTCCTTGGCTCCCAGGCCTTCAAGCCTCCGGAGCGCTGAGGTCAACTCCCAAGGTACAACAGCCTGCGTTTCAGAGCAGCAACCCTACCTCCTAGGAAATACGGCTGCAGCCCGTGTGCCAAGTGCTGCTGGCTGCACGTGCCTGGAGCCATCACGGACCCGGAAAGCCACCGGCTACAAAGCACCGATATTTCAGCCTTGGTCTAAAGGGGTTTCAAAACATTTTGTCCTGTTTGACATTTAGGAACCACTCTTGGTTGGCGTTTTTGCCAAATCTCAAGTGGCAAAGGGAGCCAGATATACAAGAACATTAAGTGCTTCCTGGAAAGAAAGAAAGAAAAAAAACCCAAACCAAACAAACCCCACACCCACAGCATGCCCCTGAGCGGCACTAACGGCTCTGCACCCCAATGGCCTCTGCCATGGGACAGAGGAGAAACAGCGGGCACAGGGACCCGCAGGGCACTGCCCAGCAATGCCACTGAGGAGGAACAAGGCGACGCACAGGCAAGGGGCGGCATGTTGGCCTCGGTGGAGAGGACCAGAGCTGCTGGAGAAAAAAACCAGCAGGGCCCAGGAGAGACACCTTCATTTGGGGACGTGAATTGCTGCATCCCAGCACCAGCACGGTGCCACTCGGGACATGGCAACAGCGCGGCAGCAGCCCTGGGAGCAGCTCCCGGCCCCATGCCTGCTGGTGGGATGCCCTCCCCAGTGCTCACCCTTCCAACCCACGGGTGACACTTCGGCCCTGCCAGCCCCGGGGAGGGTTTTGGCAGGCAGCTACCAGCTCCCTTCCCACAGCCACTGGCTGCCCCACGCGGGACCACCAGCCCCCCACACCTTTGCCGAGGAAATTAAAGGCCAGCGCTAAGGAAAAGCAGTCGTCGGGCTAGCGCAGCGGGCGGGATGCTCAGAGTTGAGGACGAGCCCGCACCCAGCACCGAGGCCTCGGTTCCAGCCCCGCGGGACCGGTGGTCGCAGGGGGGGTCCCCGGAGCCCACCGCGCTGGGGGATGGCGGGGGGAAGGGAACCGTCCCCCAGGACGAAGGGCGGTCGCCACACCCGCGAGCCCGTCCGGAGCGCCCCCGGGCGCGCCAGCAAGGCCCACGGGACCCCACGGAGCGGGGCCTCCTGGCGACGCCCTCCGGTGAAGAGACACCCCCCGCCCCCTCCCCACCG